ATTCTTGTGGAATGGGATGCTTTGTTGTCTTGGAAGATACTCAGCTACTCAAAAAGGTTTGATTCAGAAAAAGAACAATTGTTGATTATAAGTAAATAGAAAACTGCTTTATTAATTTCCTTATTTTTAGGAATAGATTCAGACTTTCAAAAGTCTTGTCAAATGAACTCTTCTTAAGTAATTTAACAAGGAGTTAGAGAACAATTACATTTAAATTAATATTATTTATATCACATAATATGTATACTGGAGAAAACTATACTGGATTGGTAGGATATATAGTTTTCACACTGAAGGAAATCAGATTCAGTCCATAGCATCTTCATTTATTTAATGAATCAAGTAACATAGTTAATGGAATATAACTCTGTTTAAAAACAACAAAGTAGAGAAATCTGTAGTTTCATGCAATGTTTATTATTCATGACTTATATATATAGTTTACTGACAGTCACCCAGTAAATGAAGGTAGAGTTTTCCCATTCTTAATCAAATGCCATTATCATCACAACTGATTCTCTTGATAATAAACATGTACTATATGCACTTGAATTGGCTAAGCTAATTAAACTTATACAGTACATTTACTAATGTTATTTGATCTGCCTTCTTGTCATGACTAAGGTATTCAGTTATTTGCAATAGTGTGCAAAAGCCAAGGTGAATTTCTACAAACAGCATTCTTCTGAGCATTGACAATATATACTGCTTTTTCATATGCAAGTTTTTAACATGGAATGATATGGCTCTTTCTTGCATCAGAGCATGAATTTGCAGTTATATAAAGAGGCCCTTTATAATGTGCATTTCGCTTACATTTTATTCCAGCTCTAGTAACTCTAGAAAGTTGTGCCAGAATGTTGATAAGATCAATTATTTAAACAAAGAGTAGAATGTGTATGTTTTTGAAACAAATGGACTGTAGTTAGCTGACATCTGTGTCTGTATAACCATTAATTTACGGTGATGGTTTCTGATCCAGAAAATAATAGACATGTAGAAACTTGCCTGAAAAAGTGGTTTGCCTTAGTTCAATTGTAGCAGTAATGGATAACATTATTGATGGAACAATGGCTCATGTTATTATTAACTCACTGATCCTACCTAGAATTTTAAAACCTAGATATTTCCTGCTGGGCACAGGCAACAATCATTTTTGTAAACTAACTTGGAGGAGGAGAAAATAGGAACACTCAGTTTTATTCCTCTATTTGGGTGAATCATGCCAAACATTCTCAAACATTATCATCAATTAAACACCATGCCAAAGGAAGCTGGAGGAGGGAGAAGAGAGAAAGAAGACACCAAATAACTAAGGCAACATTTAAAAAAAAGTCAGAAACAAGCACTTTTAAATACAAAAAAAGAAAAGTTTGAGAGAATTGACTAAGCACAGAGAAATTTCATAATGAATCTGTGTTTGTCTAAATAAATATGACTAAGCATGCAAATGAGGCCAAGACAATATTTTGTATTTATTTTAAAAATTACAACTAACTTAAACTGAAATGACAACATTGCAGTTAATTTTAATCCCTAGTAATTTATAATTTATTGCTGTTGTCATGTCAGGAGGAGTGAAGAAAAAAAATCTGGTATTATACTTCATGGTGTGCTCATAGTGAAGAAGAAAAAACATCAGTGACAGCAGGAGCTACTTCATTGAATAGTATTGCTCCACCTAACTTTTAAATATTTCTAGATATTGTTTTTAATTAAAAGCATTATTTATTCTCAAGGATGCCCCTGGGCCTGATGTTTACAAGTGGAGATAATTGCTTTTAAGTTTTTGTATGGAAGTCCATTTACTTAGGAAAAAAGGCTGAGATTAACTAGAGAGTTTCTCCATTTCTTTTCTGGTAAAATGATGATGAGTCACATCCGGCATGGCAGTCAACCTGTTAGAGTGCCCAAATGATGCTTTCCAATTTTCTCATATACTCATTGACCATTAAACTGGAAAACTTCCAATTACCCACAGTATGTTCTAAAGATACCAAGCAAATCACACCAGAGAAGCAGTTGTTCACAGGAGAAAAATATATGAAAGGAAGTCACTTGTTTTAGTCATTGGGCAGTGAAAATGAAAAACTACCTAGCTAAGCAGACCAGGCTAGAACTAATAGTTTGGCAAAATGTCTTGGTACCAAATCTATCATTTTTCACAATATGCCTGTGAAAAGGATTCAAAGGAATGCCGATTAATGTTCAAGAACTTAACAAAGCACTTCTTTTTGCCAAGTTAAAGGACCATGTTGTTTCCAAGGCTTGTGGAGCTGCTTTGAAGGTTGTTTCCAACTTTCTCTATGTGTATTTGCACCACTGATCCTGTGATACCCTTTTCTCCTAGAAAGTAAATTTGAGTATAGTTCAATTTAACAAGAAAGACTGATATGCAACACATATGATTTTTGGTTGCCTGGGTGCTAAGGCAAAATAATGTACTTCAGTTGCAAACAAGAGCTGGAGAGGAAGGGAAGAAAAGAACCTGGAACTGATTGTTGCCTAATTGAGATAAGACCCCTGACTAAGAAGCAATAACATATTTGATAGTTCATTGTAGGTGCATAGACGTATGATTCTAAGATTATTTTAACTATCTTCTCATTTCTTTTTCTAAATGTTATTTTCACTTCTTTGTTCAACTCTCAGATTCTTTTAGGATTGGAGTGTTTTTTAAATAATTATCCAAAAAAACCAAGTATGTTAATTAAATTAATAAATTAAATCCCCAAAATTACCAAAATATATCCTATTATTCTTAACCAATAAACCAACAAATCCATATTATAGTTTTAGATAATGGCCTGAATCACAGTGTACTGAATCACAATTAACCAAATTTATTTTAATCTAATGTGTTAAGCAAACCCAACTATTAAGAATATTTAACTGATTCTAAAGCCTTGTTCTGTGTGTACCAGCTATCTTAGTACTTTTGCTCAGTAAGAAGTATTTGAGTTGTAAGTTAATATCCAGAGGCTGTGGTGGTCAAACAACACATTCAGAGGACCCATTCAGAGGACCTAAGACACTGCTGTCTAAGACTTTGAATGAAATGTAATCATTTAATTACATCTTAATTGAATGTGGAGCATTCTGTTTAGTAATTTTTTTAAAAAAAAACTAAAGCAGTTGAAGCTTGAAATTATAGAATTTAAACATTAAAGTATGTTATTTGGCTCACAAAAAAGTCAGTCATTTTAGGTTTCACACTGTTCAGCAAGCGTTTACTGGACCATAGACATGGTTCTTGATGCCATTATTATGACTGAGCTTGCTCAACACAGAAGGCTAAAATGTGGTAATATAGTTTGTGACTCAGTATGTGGTAAAAACCTAGCCAGTATAATTAATTTATGGTTCAGTATGCAAAGTTAGGCAATTGGGTTATTTTTTTTTTTAAATGGTTCAATAAACCACACATTAACATATCAGGGCAAACACAAATATCATTTTCAGTTCCTGACATAGCTTACATGTTGAACACCTTCTGGATTAAACTTTTGTCTGATGTGTGTGGGCGTGAGTGTATGTGAGTGTGAGGCAACATAGAATAATGTGCTTGCAATAAGGGCCACACACAGCTATTGTTATTGCTGCTAATCCTAGCATTGTTTCCAGAATTCTTGCACACAGCTGTCTTCTATCATTCCAAAGTATTGCATGAACCAGGATATGCAAGTCTCTTAATCATTTTGAGCCTTATAGCAGCAGCTCAATGTTTTATTTTCCTTTGCTTTTGATTACTGTACCAGCATTTCTTTTCTTCCTTTGCCTAGTACATTTCTGTTCAGAGCTTTCTCATGCTCCACAAGAAGGAGCTTTTGTCATTGTTTAAGGTCCATTTGGCCTATCAGACTGATAAGCTTTCTCTCCTCTTTACAGATGGACAAGCTTCCCAGGGCACGGACAGTACTATTGGAGTGCTAATATTTTTGAATGCAAATAAAGGGGAAGTTGTTTTGCTTTACAATGAGTTCTTTGGCAAGAGACATGCTACTAGCATTTGAAATGCTTCTTCCAGCTGAGCATCTCTTTGCTCACTGTGAGAGGCAGTGAGCAGGGAAATAGTCCAAAATAGTTCTTCTTCAACATTATGCATACCTTAGCATGACAAAAAGTGGGCTGTTTTAATTCTGTAGATCTATGTAGAATTTATGGTAAAACACAGTCTCTCTCTCTCTCTCTCTCTCTCTCACACACACACACACACACACACACACTCTGACAAGCAATGCATGCCTCTTGTTGTATATGAGATACTTAGGGCTGTATATACTAAGAAACTCATCCATGCAGTCATTTACAATTGCATGCATGACCAGAAAATGTTGGGCAGAGAAGAAAACAGCTGGAGGACATTTTGTGGTTAGAGATGCCAACATTCATCAAGAGAAAAATAAAGAGTTTTGAATCAGCAAATCTTCCCTTAGCTTTAGCTGCACCTAGGCAAACATGAATTCGCATACATCCTTCACAGGCCTGATCCTTCCATCTGTTTCACACAGGCTCTATATCTAGAATGTCAGAATGTCTCATAGTCTTCAGTGGTGCCCTCCGTGCAGCATCTTTCTGTAAAACTGGGATCTGAAGATGGACAATCACAAGCAACATAGATATAAGAGGGTCATCCTGTTGGCAAGATTGACTATTCTAATACAGTAACTATAAGTGTCCTTTAGAATTTAAATTCTACACAATGTGTAGAACCCTACACATTGTGTGAATACAGAACTATTTATTACACTATTCACCTCTACTCTCAGACTGTTATAATTTGATGGAGCCTGGCTGCTGATTTCTTAGATTTTTGAAACCACATTTTCATACAACAAACTACTTTCGTTTCTTTGAAATCTTAGGTTAGACACAGGAATGTGCCTTTAAATTATTGCAGAGTGGGAAACAGTAGAGAGAAATTGCTAAGGAACAAAAGTGCGTACAAAAAGACACAGTATATTGTGATAGGAATATGAATTTTAGGAAATAATGCTTACCAGTTGTTGAAAAATCCCCTTGGCTTATTAACATTGCCAGTAATAATCGTTCTTGATGAAGGAAACATCTACTGTCTGAAAGATGGCCAATTCTTTCCACTCTGAGTGTAAGTCCTAAGATGTTGACAACATGGTTATTTATTATATAGCAGCATATTGAAAAGGCTGTAGAAAGGCCACATTTATCTCAGTTATTCTAAATTAATTTACTTGTGATGTTATCTAGTGTGATTTATAGTTGAATTTAAAACGCCAGCTCCTGTAATGATTATATGTGCTTAACTTCAAATGTTCCTAAAACATGATGCATTTATACTTTATGAAAAATGATAGGCACCAGCACAGCGAGGGTAGGGGAACCGAAAAGACATAAGCAAAAATCTGCAATCTACATTTCCCGGTGTAGAAACCTCAGATGAGACCAGGGAACGAATACATCTCTTATTTATAGCTAATGCTTTTTCTGCAGCTGAGTGTGTGTAAAGGCTCAAGAAATCTTACTTCAGAACGCCCTCGTATTATAAGGCTGAACGGAAACCCCTCATGGAAGAGCGCTCTAAAGATGTCACTGGGAGTTTTTGCTTCGGGCTTCGCCGGAGCTTAAGGGCCAGTCTGCTGCGCCATCTCAGGCTGCACGTACTGTACAGTACATAAGATGGGCGAAGACTTTTCTTTGCCGGCGTCGGCGGCTTTCCCTGACGATCGCAAGCTTCAGTATGACGCAGAGTTCTTCCTTTGTCGCGCCAAGAGCCCGGCGTTCATTTCCAAGTCTGCGCAATTCCTGCGTCGCTAGAAGACCCGGGAGCAGCCGAAAGCGTCGGCTCGCCAGGTTTGAAACTTTCGGTGGACGATTTCAAGGTCTCTGAAAGGGTGAAGCGATTCTCGAGGATCGCCGAAGCTCCTCCCTGGGCTTGCCCCGTACGAAGCCGGAAAGCACCTGGAGGTCTTCTTCAGCTCTTCGTGAAAGAAAGCCCGCCTGCTTCCAAGTTATAACGCGCAGCAGCAGTCCGACACCAGGCTACGGAGAGGGCTGTTCTTCCACCTACGCCTTCGTCTCCCCTCCTGCGGCCGAGAGCGAAAGCGAAAGTGAAAGCCGGGTGTGGCTCCGCCCCGCTTGCTGCGGCTGGAGGGAACTGTTGAAGCTTGACAAGCTGCGGGCTGGGCGGCTGCGGATCCGCGCTCCGGATCTAATATCCCCCCCCCCACCTATCTTTCCCTTGGCCTGTGGGAGAATCGTCGCGGCAGAAAGCAAATTGCCCTCTCTTGCGCCAGCCTGGACACGTGGATGCTATGCGTGTGGGCGGTGCTGCTGGGCACGCTGGGTGCCGGTGAGTGTTGCTTCTCTCTTCTTTTGCTGCCCTCGCCCTCGGCGGCGCTATTCCCACTCCGACTGCTGCATCTCTCGCTTTTCTCTCGCAGCCTTTCGCCTTCCTCTCGAAAAGCTAGCTGATAAATCCTGCGTTCTTTGGTCCGCGCCGATTCTGGAGTAGTTGCGCAGTTACTATTCCCTTTTTCTGCTTGCCCGTGTCCTAAAGCCCCCGGGGGAGGTGGGTTGTCTTTGGGGCTCCAAGGACGGTAGAGTAACGTCTCTTTAAAAATAGCGGAAGGGAGAGAAACTGCCCCCCTTCCCGGGCTGGTGAGACTTTACTTTCCGTCCTATCCATTGACTGTGCCACAGCAGATAAGGATTGGTTGGTTTGGTTGGAGTGTACCGCTGCCTTGCATTACACGTCCTGTCCCCTCCCTCTCAGTTCCCCCAGCGAACCCAATTACTTCAACAGGCATAGAGTGCTGAGCTCTGGAATTGGCTACCTCTCTTAAAGCCTGATGCTTCCTGTTGTGTCCTGGGCCTGATGAGGTAGCTCAGGAGGCCTAAAAATGTTGCAAACAGTCCCTGGCATTCCAAAAGCTTCCCAGGATCAGACTGGTGGGCGCCGGCCTTGTGCGCAGGCATAAGGTGCGAACAAAAGAGAATTATGATAGGCTGTTTGGGAAACTATAAAAGGCCTGTGAGCCTGTTGGTTATTGAGTGGTGACTTGGAATAAATAAAGTAGAACTTGGTTGCAACGTGTGTGTGTGTGTGTGTGTGTGTGTGTGTGTGTGTGTGTGTGTGTCGCTTCAATTCCGTGAACCCCAATACTTAAAAGTGGCGATGAGGATGGGATTGCTGCAAAGAAGACAACCAAAGAACCTAGCCTCTAAAAAAAAAGAGCTGGACGCTGGGAAGTTGGTGCCCAGATCTGCACTCACCTGCCATTATGCAGAAGCTGGAGGTGGGCTTGGCAAACGGGCCTCTTCCCATCCTGAATTGCAGTGAGGCTAACAGAAGCCAGAGATGTTGAAAATCGTCCGGCTGTCCGATGTGTCTCATCCAGAGCTTTGGAACTCTTATGTGGCCTGTGTGGAAAACTACCTGCGAGTTAACCAGGTTCGAGAAGAGGGCTTGAAGGCAGCAACCTTGCTGTGCATCTGGGGCCAGGACACTTTTGATGTAGTTGAAAATTTAGTAGCTCCTGCGCCGCTTGAGTCTGTAACATACACAGACTTGAAGAAGATGCTGAAGGATCATTTTCATCCGAAACTATCTGTAATTGCATGGAGGCACGCTTTTGAGTAGAGGGACCAGAAGCCTGGTGATTCTGCTACTGAATTCATTGCTGCCTTGAGACAAGCAGCCAGGCTTTGTTAGTTCAAGGACCTGGAAGAACGCTTACGAGACCATTTTGTCTGTGGCCTTAGAAGCAGAGAGCTGCAACAAAAAATATTTGCGACAGCTGAAGTCACTTTCCAAGATGTCTTGTGTGAGGTTGCAGCTGAAGAGGCAGCAGGCAGCGCTGTGAAGGCCTTGTGACTCACCAAAAGCGCTACCGCAGTCGCATCCATCCATCAAGAAGATGCTCAAGAAGATTCAGAAGAGGATCCTGAAGAGGAGGTGGACAGACTTCACCAGCCAGCAGAAAGAAGGCCGAAGGGGCATCCAAACAAGGCCCAGGATCTCCTCAGTGTCTCGGGTGCGGAGAACACAACAAGCGAGCTGACTGCAGATTCCGCTCCGTCATCTGCAGGGCATGTTGAAGGCCACATTGCCTCCGTCTGTTTGGGTCGCCAGAAGGTCCAATCGCGGGAAGAATTGCTTCAGAAAGATACCAGGGTCCCCACCCAACACAGGGTGGGTTTCTGCGCATCGTGCAAGAGTATTCTGAGAACAGGGACACACAAGCCCCTTAAGGAAAAACTTCACATTGATGTGAAGTTGCAAGGGGTTCCCTTATCGATGGAGTTGGACACAGGGTCCGCTCTGTCAATCATTTCACTTGACACATTTAAAATGATTTGTAGCAGTAGTGGCCTTTAAGTCAAACCCAGGCCATCGAATTTAATCCTCACTGACTTCCAGAATTCCAAAGTCAGTGTGAAGGGGGAGGCTACACTCAAAGTGCAGCGTAAAGCTTTTGAAGGCTTCTTAGATGTGGTTGTTGGTGCACGCACAAGTCTTATTGGACTCGATTGGTTTGAGGCCCTTCGAATTCAAGTGACTGGGCTGCACAGCGTGCAAACATTGGGCCTTGCAGAAGTTTGCAAGGAGTTTGCTGATGTGTTTAGCTCAGAACTTGGCTCCTACAAGGGGCCTCCCATTGCATTACGTTTAGACCCAACTATTACGCCCATCAGGATCATCCCTTTTCCCTCCCCCTGATAATACATGCGTAACATATAATATTGATTGGTTACCTGGATTGCAGCCCCTAAAGTTTTCTTGCTTGCTATGCAAAATAGCTAAATGTCATGCCACCTTTGCCTACCTTAGTCATGGGAATATTGCAAAGCTTCTAGTTTCCTGTGCCAGCTATGTAGTTTTAAGGTTTCTTATAAATGAAGCTCAACATCCTGGCTAAGTGGTTGAACCTGTGAAGTTGTCTTACTTTATTGTCTCTGCATCCCCTATCCTCCACAGCCCCCCTCACATTGCTCAACTGTTAGCAAGCTTGTTTGCAAACCCTCAGTGAGCAGAAGGGGAAAAAAAGCTGTTAAAGAAAAAGTTGTTCAAGAGTAACTGTTTCTTCTCAGAATTCATCTTCCTTACTCCCATGTCCATCACAACCACACCTGGGTCCTATCTCCACATATGACCCTTCTTCTGATCCCCAGGGCTTCATCTGCATGTATATTCTTTCATCTGATCCTTCAAATGACATCCAGGAACAGGAGATCACAGGTTTTTTTTTTAATAGAAAACATGGGTCAGCACTGTTCCTAAATCAGATTGCAGCCAGCTATCGCTAATTAAGAAAGCTATTCCCTTGTGTGGCAAGGGGTCTCATTGAGCATGTTTCCTCTGCCCTTTACTCTGCTTGCCAAGTCCAAGGGAGTGGATGACATGCCTCATCATCTTACTGTTCCAGCTTTTTTGATGGTGTTTGTGTTTAAACAGCCAAAGATGATTCCTGGCTTGATGTCCCCTGGGGCTGAGATTTCACTAGTTCAGCTGGAGCAGCTTTTTTATAGACAGACTCTGAGTCCTGGCCCATGACATGTATACTGTAAATGCATAGATGAACTATGGAGGAAGCTTGGAACTTGAATTCTAAATGTGTACAGTGCCAGGACACAGTTATAACCTTAGTAGCTTGAAAAATTAATTATTGTATTGGTGAGTTTTTGTGTCTGAATTGAGAAGTTGTTAATTTGGTGATTCCTTGAAGTGAAGAACTGGAATAAAATCCCTAGAAAGCGAATTTATTTTTGGATATGAGTGTGACATAGCACTCTTGATCTTATGCCTGGTGGTTTAACTTTTGAACCTTAAAGTCACCTTCCACCTGACAGTGACTTCCTCTCTTTATTAGGATCCTTCATTTTTAGCCTGGCCTGTTATAGCCATTACCAGACAGTCTCACCAGCATTCATTGAAGCAAGGAATCACTGACCCAAATAGTTTAATTCATCGTTAAGTGTAATTTTAGAACTTCTGACCTATTCAAAGTACCCTTGACCTGCATTCCAAAATCATCATTGTTGTCATCCTCATCTCTCAGGAATGTTTTCGATGAAAGGAACATACCCCAAATTCCTAATCAAACCACCCAAAACTTGACAATGCTGAATTTAATAATTTAATAATTTCTGCTCATAACGTTTAAAATGTGAGCAGGGTTGATGCTTATCTCGCATGATTCTCACTTTTTCAGTTATTGCTTTAGATCTTGACAATATATCAGCATGTGTATAGGGAATTAACCTTTTTTTAAAACTGCATTGAATTAAAAAGGTACTTTTCCTTTTACATTTTTGATAAAATCTGAGCAGTAATTGGGAGAAGGTTATTAAGAAATTAGCCCTAAAGAGCAAGTTAATATAGCATTAAAAATTATAAAACCTTTAAAACTATCTGTAATTGTGTAGTAATGTGACCTACAATATGTGATGCAAACATCATCTAAGTTTTATTAATGCATAAAGAATTCTGGTTAACGCAAATGACATCCCAAACAATGTAGTATGCCATCTTTGTATTGAAACTGAGCGAACTTTCACTATGTTATTATTAGAAGTGATATCTAGAGTAGGGGTGTCAAACTGGCGGCCTATGGGCCGGATGCGTCATGCACAGACCACACCCATCCCAGTTCTACAAAGGCAAAAAAGTTACGATACGTCATGATATGTCACATGGCACGATCGAGTTTGACACCTGTGCCCTAGGATTATCAACAGATCAGTTGAGATACAGGTAGTTCTTGACTTATGGCTGGTCACTTAGTGACTGAAGTTATGATGGACCCAGAAAAAGTTACTTATGACCCAAGTATGAAATTCCAACAGGTGACCTGCCCATCCCCAACCCCTGCAGTCACATACTGCATTTTGAGCATTTGTTAACTGACCCATATTTACAATTCTTTGCATCATCCTGCAATCATGTTGCCATGATTTGCAATGTTTTTGCTGGAAACCGAAATTTACTTTTGGTTTCTGGCAAAAGATGCCCATAGCAAACTATGGGTTTGCTTAACAACACCCAATTTTTGCTGAATAACAGCTATGTTTCTTAATGACTGCTGCAAAAGTAAAATCAAGTGCAGTTATGTGATAATCCACTTAACAACCATCACTACTTTCAATTATAATTATGCAAATATTATTATGGTCATACGTTGAGGACTATTTCTAGATGTCCTGACCAGGTTTATTTATTTATTAAATAAAATACAACATATTGGTTTTCACCGTTGCAACCTACGATTCACAACACATGTTTCTGGACGTATATGTCTATCAAAAATAATTCACGTCCCAATCAAAAATATTTCTGTGGATCTTAGAAAA